CTTCTTCTTCTTCTTCTTCTTCTTCTTCTTCTTCTTCTTCTTCTTCTTCTTCTTCTTCTTCTTCGTTAATGATTGTCATAGTTTGTAGGACAGAAGAAAATTGAGATATATGATTTTTACTCTGAGAAATGGGTATGACCCTTTTGTAAGGTTGTTGGTTAAAGAGTTTGGACTGAATCTATAGAATGGTGTTGGGACTTTGTTGTTGCCTTAGGTAACTTTGGCTTTAGATTCTCCTGGTATCTCCTTGTGCTTGTGCTTGGTTTGCTTTGATGTGGGGAAGACTTTTTCTCAAAGTTTATGTTCTACTCTCAGCTTTAGTCCTTCTTAGTGTGTGGTGTGCTATATGTAGAACTTTAGTGGGGAGCAGGGAGGGTCTCCTTTGTTCTGGTTCAGCCCTCAGTTTCCTTGTGTCTGGGTGGGAATGGATCTTTCTGGATTATTGCCTGGCACAGAGGTTATTCTTCTGAGTAGTTTTGACTAGAATTTCAAGTCTCTTCCTCAGGCGTAAATGATTTTTTGTTGTTACTTTTCTTTCTTTTGGTTTTTGAGATGGTGTACAAATTACCTCTTAATCTTTCTCAAATGTCTAGCCTAACTTTATCATCATTTCCTCTTCTTCATCTTCAAAACCTTTTATTGTATATATTTGTGTATGCACATGATTGCATGTGTGCAAAGGTCAGAGACAACTTGTGATAGTTGGATCTCTCTACCATGTGGATTCTGGGGGTCAAAATCAGGTCATCAGGCTTGGTGACAAGTGCCTTTACCCACTGAGCCATCTCTCTGGTCCAAGCCTTTGCATTTTATTGAAGAGTTTTATATTGCCTAGCAGAAATATATATACAATACTAACTATATATATGTGTGTGTGTGTGTGTGTGTGTGTATATGTAGTAATATATAGTCATATATCTATATATAATACTAACAGAAGGTCAGTGAGACTTTTGGAAAGAACAGAGAATGGTGAGCTGCAGCTAGCTGGTGAGTCCTGGGATTTCTGATCTTTCTTGTGTCCATGCTGCCATATCTGGTGGACATGATCCATGCCCATACTGATTTTGCTTATTACTGAGTCTTTACATACAACCCTAGAGAATGAGGTGCTTGGCAGGTTTTCTAGAGGAATGTGAGGTGGGGGTTAGATTTAGAAGAAAGGTAAAGAATGGCCTTGGGGTTTTGTGGCCGAGCAAGCCTGGAATTTAGCCATCTGTCCTCAGGAGTTTATTGTAGTTATTTCACAGTTTTTCTCTTGGGTTAAAAAGATAGGAGTTTTAATTACTTTGGCCAAGGATAGGTTCATTGTGATAATTGTGTTTGGTATTTGAATGAAGAAAAGGACTTTCTTCTTGGCTGAAGGAGAGAGGAGTCCTTTGTAAACTGCTTGTCCCTCATTCAGGTGCTGAGACTGAGATTCTAGGCAAGAGGTCTTCTAGGGCTGTGACTGATCATAGCACATCATTGCAGAACAAGCCACCAGGGACTTTGTCTAGTGTATCAGACGCACTAGTGCCAGGTTGTTCACGTACCAAAAGAAAGCCTGATAACATTCTCAACTAAGTTTTGATGGGTTTGAAGATTGGAATGGTCTCTAGGGCCAGGCTTTTCTGCTTGTCTGTGTATTGCGTTAGGTAGAAAAGGTACCCTGAAGGTCTCTTTGTACCTTACTCTTACATGAGAGTGTGCACTCCTAGCTATTTACTAGATTTGTTCCCATGGAAACCTGGACTCACTTGACAGACATGTGAAACAAATATGCTTCCACATGCTTGCATAGGGAAACCTTCGTAGCTTAGTGCCAAGAATGAACAGTGCTTTCTAGACTTTAATAAGTCTAGTCTTATTAGAGTGAGGCTGGGTTCACTCTTCTGGACTTCGAGAAATTTCTCATGCCCCAGACAAGCTTTTTAATTTGGGTCCAGGTCCAGATCCTTGGAAGGGGGTTGGGACAGTTAAGACAAGGGTTTTGAGTGGGGTCTGTGGAGACATGATTTTCCCTTTACAACTTTCACTCCCCTGAGAACTCACCTTAGTTCCTCTGCTCTGAGGCATTCAAAGCCAGGATCTGATATAGACATTTTTTGCTCTTCTGTTCTCCAGCCACACCCCACCCTCAGTTTTTCAAAGAATGACAGGGTCTCACAACGTAGTTTACACTGACTTGGAACCTGAGATCTCCTTGCCTCAGCCTCCCACGTGCTGGAATTACAGGTGTGTGCCAGTCTGCATAGATTTACATCTTTGTTGAATAGAGCAGACTACATTCCTACCTCTAGAAGTTATCCCTGTGACCTTTTAAGGACTGACTCTTGGGTGAAAATTTATGGCCCACCACATTCCTCTTCCCAAAGGTGAGGTAGGTTCAGTGGTTCTGACTTATGACCAGCACAGGAATTGGGGAAGGGAGAAGGCCAGTCTGGGTAGAGTCAGGAGATTTGCTTATTTTTTTGACAGAGCCTTCTTAGGTAAGATAATGTAGAATCCACTTTCTTTTGGGTTAGTCCAACTCAGACCCAAAGAGAGTGAGTATGTTTATGTATGTACACACACATGGCATCTTTTCAAGATGCTTTCCAATGCTGGTTCTGTAACTAAGAGGAGGCTATGGCTTTGGTTAGGTGACAAGACTCTGGGAATTATTTTGGGAGAATTGCTTTGTAGCTTCAGATGGTAGTGAGGAGCATGCAGAAGAGAAAAGAAAATAAGCCAGTGGCAGGTTAGCCCCAAGTTAGGGTGCTCCTGGCTGTCCTTTTTCCCTTCTTTCTTGTAACCTTGTAAGCTCTTTTGGATACTTGAGAAAAGAAAGGTATTGAATCAGCAAGCAGAAATATGTTGGGGTAAGGTAGGTGTTGTATATATGGTAATACTTGGGTATGTTTTCATGAAGATCTCTGCAACTTCATACTCTTTTTTTTTGTTTTGTTTTGTTTTTCGAGACAGGGTTTCTCTGTGTAGCCCTGGCTGTCCTGGAACTTACTCTGTAGATCAGGCTGGCCTCGAACTCAGAAATCTGCCTGCCTCTGCCTCCCAAGTGCTGGGATCACAGGCGTGCGCCACTACTGCCCGGCTTCTTTTCTTTTTCCCTCCCTCCCTCCCTCCCTCCCTCCCTCCCTCCCTCCCTCCCTCCCTCCCTTCCTTCCTTCCTTTCTTTTTTTGAGACAGGGTTTCTCTGTATTGTCTTGGCTGTCCCAGAACTCACTGTCTTCACTCTGTAGGTGAGGATGGTTTTGAACTCAGAGTTCTGTCTGCCTCTGCCTATCCTGGTGCTAGGATTAAAGGTATGTGCCAGCACATCAAGCCATATTAGTGATGAAACAGTCTTCTTAGCATCTTCTTAAACCTTCCCTCCTTCTAACTGCAGAGTTTTTCACATGTGCCAGAATTCCTGTAGAATTCACTGTTTATAGTAGAAATCACTATTTACAAGGAGCCAAGTGGCAGGATTTCCTGGAATGATCTTTCTTGTCTTTTTCTGTGGTCTCGCTTGTCTTTCAGGCTTGTGAGTGCTATGCGTCTGCTCTAGGTGGGTACTCTGGTTTTCTCTGAGGGACAAGTTTGTGAGCTTTAACACCTTTGATTCTTTTCGCACTTGAGTTTGAGATCAGCTTTGTCTTAACAGTGAGTTTCAGGATAGCCAGGGCTACATAGGCAGACTTTGTCTCCGACAGTCAAACAAATAGAATTGAGCAGAACTAGGGAGAATCTACTGTGAACCTATACAGTTTTGCTGGCCTCTTTGCTCAGTTGGACGGATCTCTTGTTGGATGTTGTCATTAGGTTGGAACTGAGTGCTTACATTGTCTTACTTAGGAGCATTGGATACTGCCTACCTCAAGTTCCCTGTGTCTTACAATTGAAACTGGGACAATCCTGTTGTGTTTTATGTGTTGCATGCTCTACCCAAGCAGGTGGTGGGCAGGGAAATCTGTCTGACTGGCAGGTGTAACTAAGCCAGAGTAACACTAGCTCCTGCCCTAGACTTGACATACTTGTTTTCTTTGCCAGGCCACAGTAAACACAGGCGTACAGAAAACATTTACCATGGAAGCCAGGGAGCTTGGGAGTCCCACACCCATCTACCATCTTCTACCAAAGGCCAACCAGCACACTGTAAAAGAAGATGCCAGCTCACCATCTCAAGGGTCTCCAGAAACTATGCAGCTGAAGAAGGAGATCTCCTTGCTGAACGGGGTCAGCCTCGTGGTGGGCAACATGATTGGCTCAGGGATCTTTGTCTCGCCCAAGGGTGTTCTAAAATACACTGCTTCCTATGGGTTGTCACTTGTAGTGTGGGCCATTGGTGGGCTCTTCTCTGTTGTGGGTGCCCTTTGTTATGCAGAACTGGGGACCACTATCACCAAGTCAGGGGCTAGCTATGCTTATATTCTAGAGGCCTTCGGGGGCTTCATTGCCTTTATCCGTCTGTGGGTCTCACTTCTAATTGTTGAGCCCACCAGTCAGGCCATCATCGCCATCACCTTCGCCAACTATATCATCAAGCCCTCCTTCCCCACCTGTGACCCTCCATACGTGGCCTGCCGTCTCCTCGCCGCTGCCTGCATATGTAAGTATGGGTGGGGAGCATGTGTGGAGGTGTGGGGCGCTATGTTATTTGTCTGGGTACCTGATATCTGAATGTTTTATTTTGCTTTTGGGGAGGAGGGAAGGTGTGAGGAGGCATACCTTTTGAAAAAATAATTTCATCACTTATTTGGTTCTGAGAGATGAGTAAATAGAAAGGATGGGAATTGGAGATGGGAATTGGAATTTGAGTCTGCTCACGGCTTTTGGGGCCTTAGGTTCCTCTTATTCTTAGCTGTGCCATATTTCTATTCCCTACTCTATGAGGCAGGTTGGCACATGTCTTGTGTTTGTCTTACCAAGTGATTTTTTTTTTCTCGTCTTGGAGGGCCAGCAAGGTATTTTGAATGATGTCAACATCACTGTAAAAAACTTATCTCAGAGAGCAAGTCAGAGCAAGGATATTTAGTGTTGAGCTGAGTTGTTGTGCTCCCAGCTTTTCATTAGAAACTATTTTAAAGTCATCAATGAGGAAATAGGCTTCTCTGGATGATGGGGGGGTCCCTCTTTCCTGTCACTGCTGCTTTTTGTGACCTGTTCTAAGCAGCAGGCACCACACCAAATGGGCTTTTCCCGTTGGTGTTTCAGATTTCTTTACACTGACTTTGTAAACAAGCTCTGCCTGCTGCCACTGAGAGGGACATGACTTATGTGTTTTATAACCGAGTGTGAGTGATCCCAGGGGATCCCTATTTCTTTTCTTTTAGGGGCATAGAAAAGGATATTTAGAGTGAAACCATGGAAATGAGAGAAGATTGCTATGAACTTAGCCAGCCTTGTAGAGCTAGTGATTTGGCTAGTGCCTATTCTTGTGTTTCTTAGCACTGTTCTTCCAGAAGAATTTAATCATATTCTGTGTTTTTTTTTTTTTTTTAATTTTTATCTCTGCTTGCAAAAACTTCGCTTGTAAATACAGTTTATTGACAATTTTAAAAATAGTTCAGTAATACCTTGGAGTTAACAAAAAACGACCATAGTGTACCTTGCCTCCTGACTTTAAGGGCTTTGTTAAGGGCAGACAGTAAAGGTGACCTCTTCATCTTCCTTGAGACAGGGGAAGTAGATACTCCTTGGGAAGAGGGAGCAGGCAGGACTCAGCTGTATGTCCTTTTTTTTCTTTGCTCTCTCTAATGGGTTTCACCACACAGTTTCTGGCCTCGCTGAGATCTTTAAAGACTGAATTTAGGCAGCTGTAGTGGTGCACAGTTTTAGTCCCAGTACTTTGGAAGCAGAGGGAGCCATATTTCTGTGAGTTGAGGGTAGCTTTATTCTACATAGTGAGTTCCAGGCCAGCCAGGGCTAGATGGTGTAGATCCTGTCTCAAAGCAATCAGACAAATGGTGCACTTGGGAGGTAGAGGGAGGTGGATCTCTGAATTTAAGGCTAGTTTGCTTTATAGAGTGAGTTTTAGGACAGCTAGGACTACACAGTGAAACCCTATCTTGAAAAACAAAACAAAACAACAGGACAGTAGTTTTATGAACTGAGCCTGCTGGCTCACACCTATAATCCCATTACTTGGGAAGCAGAAGCAAAAAGGATTGCCAAGGCCAACTTGGGTTTCATATCAAGTACCAGACCAGCCAGGGCTACTTTGTGAAACCCTGTCTTAAATAAGCAAATAACCTGGTGAGTGCCTCAGTAGGTAAAGGCACTTAACTGCCAAGGTTGACAAGTTGAATTGATCCGTTGGATCACGTGGTGGAAACAGAACCTACTCCCACAGGCGTGCTCTGACCTCAGTAAGTGAGAGCACTCACATACTCACAATAAAGATAAAAATTTAAAGGTCATTTCAGAGCATCTGCATATTTCTTGGCATTGAGTTTTACAAGGGAAATTCTTGTGTATAAGGGAATGGGTATGACCAACTATAGAATCGTTCATGTATTATGCAGTTGCTCTTTAGAAGGCTCTATGCATTCGTGCTCCTGTGTGAGCATCTGACAGTGCCTGTGCCTTGGTTTGACAGTGGTAGTGTGATTCAGAGAGCAGCCAAGTCCAAGGGGACTGGTATATATGATTTGTTTTTTTTTTTTTAATAAATGGATTCATGTGTATGAGCATTTTGCCTGCATGTGTGTCTGTGTACCATGTGTGTGCCTAGTACCCTCAGAGCCCAGAAAAGACATTAGGTGCACTGAAACTGTAGTTATTGATGGTTGTGAACTGCTGTGTTGGGTCCTCTGGAAGAGTAGCCATTGCTCTTAACCACTGAGCATCTCTCCAGCCTTTTTGTTTTAAGATTTATTTTTTTTTAATTTTACATATGAATGTTTTGCCAGAATATATGTCTATACCATACCACATGTGTACCGGGTGCCCTCAGAGGCCAGAAAAGGATGCCAGATCCCTCTGAAGTGGACTGAGTTGTTTGTGAGCTGCTGTGTTTGTGCTAGGAATGACACCTGACTCCTTTGCAAGAGTAACAAGAGCTCTTAAATGCTGAGTCATCTCTGCAGCCCCTATATTTTTGATACATGAAAGATTATTATTTTCATTTGCTAATCCACCCACCTCCTTATGATTCTTCCCTTGCTATCTTGGGCACAGAAAGCCCATCTTCATACCAAGAATTTATCTTTTGATTGAAGGATTGGCATCACCTCCTAGAAATGTAGTCATGGGGCTTCTGGTTCATTTTGACTCACAGTGTATTTTACCCAGATCTCTTAGGAACTTGTCAGAAGTAAGGCTAAATTATAAAATAAAACCATGTTGCATTCTAACCAATGAGGCTTTGGGATTCAGCTTATTTCCTTTTTTTTTTTTTTAGACAGAGCTGAGATATGGTAGAAGGGAGACTGTTAGGTTAGAAACGACATCGAGAGCAACATGATCTCTGGAGACATACCTTCTGAGATGAAAAAATGAAGGGTATGATCCTCATTGAGTCCTATGTGAGGTTCTAATAAGTAGGAGATAACATTTTGAAATTAAGACATAGAAAGGTCCACTGTGTTGGTGGAGACTGAGACACTAGAGGACACCTAGTTGACTGGGAGATTGCACAAAAATTTTGATTTTCTAGCCAGAGTCTGGAGAGATGGGTCAGTCATTAAGAACGCTTACTGGCCAGGATAGGGTTGTGGTACACACCTTTAATCCCAGTACTTGGGAGGCAGAGGTGTGTGGGTCTCTGAGTTCAGGGCCAGTCTGGTCTTCTGAGCAAGTTCCAGGACAGCCAGTGCTACATAGAAAACTCTGTCTCTCAAACAACAGTAAGAGCTCTCTATTGCTTACTGTTTGTTCTTCCAGACTTGAGTTCAGTTCTAAGCACCTATGTCAGGTGGTTTACTTCTGCCAATAACTTCAGCCCCAGGGGTAGTCAGTCCCTCTGGCCTTCACGTTTACCCACACTCAAGTGCACATAACCTACGTGCAGGCACATACATACAGATAATTAAAAATAATAAAAATAAGCATTAAGATTTTTTTTTCAGACAGGGTCTCACTGTGTAACTGTAGACCAGTGGGCGTTGAACTCAAAGAGATCTCATTTCCTCTTGTCGCTCAAGCGTGGGGATCAAAAGCATGGGCCACTTATGCTGGGCTTTAAGACCAAGTTTTGTTCTAGAATGTAAGATCCAGGAAGTGTCCATATGTTTAGTCATGGGATATAGGCTATTAGGCCTGTATGTAGGCCAGATTGGCCCACAGACTTGTTAGGCTACACAATTGACAATTGTGCCGTTCTCTTTCTGTCCCCCTCCTTCCTCCCTCCCTCCCTCCCT